GTCCCCACCAATTCCACTCTGGTTCACTCCCCTTCCCCACGCTGGTTCTTGATAGTGTGTCACACACTGTGGCCACACAGCCCCTCCTTCCTTCTCTTCCCTCTCATACTTCGTTCTCCTCCCCCCACCAAGTACTAGCATCAATTGTCCTCATATCAGAATTGAGTATATAGGATTCTTGCTTCTCCATTCTTGTGATGCTTTACTAAGAAGAATGTGTTTCAACTCCATCCAAATTAATACAAAAGATATAAAGTCACCATCCTTTTTATGTGGCTTATATGTAACACTCTCAAAAGCACTCTATGTCTGATAGAAAGTGCATTAGAGCAAATGTTTTCTGTATGGTCCAGCTAGCTAGAAAAATGCCTAATTGCTGAAGGAGTTGCTTAAATTTTAGCAAAACCCTCATGACCATTTATCTCTCACAAGTGATTAACTGCCTTCCTTAGCAGATGTGTAAACTCCTTGTTAGTGCCAGCTGGACTCACTTCAGGTTTTATTTTGACAGGGCTTAAACTAACAGGCAGTAAGAACTGTCTTTGTTTATTAAGGAGTTATCAGTATAATACCTTAAATGACTGTGTTTATATAATGCATATCCCCAAATCATTGGGCTAAATGAATTCTTGTCATTCACTCTTTCACCAAACATGCCACCTCTCTCCAAGGTGTCTGACAGAGAGGAAGACCATCTGCCTCAGTCCTTTCTTTAAGTTCTTGGTCATCTACCAAGCCTTTGGGGCTCTCAGAGGACAGGACAATGATTCTCAAGGTGTGGGAATGCTAGGGGCTAATATGTTCGAAAGAAATTTATACCCATTTGTTGTGGAGCCAAGCGGGTGTGAGAAAGAAAGACTGACACATGCAGAAGGGTTCTTGGACTCATTGTAGCATTTGTGCTTCTTAATTCTGGAATTTTGTGTTCTGCTCTGAGGTCTTGGTATGATTGAGTATAGGCTCGGCTGTGGTAGGAAGAACACAGGACTGAGAACTGAGGATTCCTTCTCAGTTCCCAGTTGGGTAGTCTCTGACAACCGTCATGGTAAGTAAACATAACCAGGCATTTTATCTTTCTAGGTCTCAGGTCACACCTCTGTAAAATGAATATACTTAACAGTTCCATTCAATATTCAAATTATAAGAATTCCATGACTGGTTTTACAGAACTTTAAACTATTTGAGACTCAGCCTTTGGCCACAACCACTACAACTGTTTGTATAGCAATGGCAAATCAATCTGGATGACTGTTTTGTTTTTCCCAGTTGCTTCCAGCCTTGTACTTCCTGTTGACCTTGGAGAAAGGAATTATTTTCCTTAGCTTTGTGGTAATCTTTTGGCCCATATACTGGTTTAAGGAGATAAAAGTACTATGACACCCCTCTGAAGGCTGGTCACTTTGCTCCTGCCAGAACACTCTAAGTATAAATTCAGCAATATAGTTAAATATAGTTAATTATTTGTGAATTATAGTTATATTCAGCAATATAGTTAAAATAGTTCCCAGGAAATGTTGATTCCCCTGTAACAGAAGATATCTTTTCCATGGATATAAAACCTCAAGTGTTCTTCAATTAAGAGGAATAATTTTTTTCCTGGCTTGACAATATCTCATTTATTTAACTCTCCCTCCTCTGTCCGTGGTTATAGATGTGTAAGAGAAGGAAATTAAAGTTTTCAGAGTCCTTCTCTGGGCACTTATTCTAGTCTATGTAGACTACATTACAAAAAGGTGAGAGGTCCATTTGTGCCCCCACAGCAGCCCTGAATGGACTGAGTATTCTGCTCTGGCTGAGAGCACCCTGAAGCTAAGCTCATTCCTTTGAAAGAGACACCACAAAATGCTTTCAGATTGATGTGACACCTTCCTGTGCAGAGAGGTCACCTCTGTGCCCAGCCAAAGAGAAGAGCTGATGGGAGCAAGACCACAGGTTTCAGTCCTACAAGGGCAGTTCATGTTGCTCTGTTCCTTGATGTGAGTTTATGCTCCTATCAAAATCTTGTGTCAAGGCTCTCAATGCAGACTGGGATATGGGATGATCTGGATAGATTCTGTGCTATCATGGAGGACCTGAAATAATTCCTTTGAGAGCATAGGTACTTTCATTTAATCTTTATAGCACATCTGTAAGGTAGAGTTATGTCTGTTAGAGAAGAAACTGAGGTTGAGCTAGTTTTAAGTAACTTGTAAAGTAGTGAAGAATAAAACTAAGGTCTTCTCTGACTCCCAAGTCTATTTCCCCATCATACCATGCAATCCCCCTAAATATTCGCCCTGTTTTAAAAGGTTTATTTTTTTTTTTTAATTGTTGGGGATTCATTAAGGGTACAAAGAACTAGGTTACAGTGATAGCATTTGTTAGGTAAAGTCCCTCTTATAATTGTGTCCCATCCCCAAGAGTTGTGTCATACCTTGTGACCCCCACCCCCTCCCTCCATCTCTCTCCTTGCACCCCCCACCATGTACTAGGTCATTAATTGTCCTCATATCAGAATTGAGTACATAGGATTCATGCTTCTCCATTCTTGTGATGCTTTACTAAGAATAATGTGTTCCACTTCCATCCAGGTTAATACAAAAGATGTAAAGTCTCCATCTTTTTAATGGCTGAATAGTATTCCATGGTGTATATATATATATATATATACCACAGTTTGTCAATCCATTCCTGGGTTGGTGGGCATTTAGGCTGTTTTCCACACTTTGGTGATTGTTAATTGAGCTGTGATAAACACTCTAGTGAAAATGTCCTTATGATAAAAGGATTTTTTTTTTCCTTCTGGATAGATGCTCAGTAATGGGATTGCAACACCAAATGGGAGGTCTAGTTTGAGTTCTTTGAGGGTTTTCCTTCCAAAAAGGCTGTATTAGTTTGCAGTACCACCAGCAATGTAAAAGTGTTTCCTTCTCTCCATATCCACCCTGGCATCTTCAGTTTTGAGATTCTGTGATGTGGAACATTCTCACTACAGTTAGGTGATATCTCAGGGAGGTTCATCTTTTTATATGAGCCAAAGATGATCAAAGAGCATTCATCAGTTGAGAACAGAGAAATGAAAGTCGTCAATGCTGAATGGCAGCTGTGAGTCAGAATCATCCATCCTTGAGTTTTACCTCAGTCCAGTTTCGAGTCATATTTAATCATTTTCAGGAGTATCAGAATAGGTAAGTAAATATTAAGTTAACTTTTTCCCTGAACATAACCGTGGCTAAGTGTTTAGTAATATTTCCCTTCCCTAATATTTGGAATGAATTGGGTCTAATCTGATTCGACTTTGAATATGTCAGCCAGCTCACACTGGCTCTGGCTTCAATACACTGATTATACACGTCTCTTTCCAAACCGGTATTCAGATTCTGTGGTTCAGCTCGAAATCAACCTTAGTGAGAAGACTTATACCATGGACATAAGAAACTATGCAAACTTTCACCCCTCCACTTTTTTCCCCTTCCTGCATAACTGGTAGTTAAACATTTACCCTTGTACCTCTGACTTTCAGTCTTAATCACAGATGTCTGGTAATTTAAGCTGATGGCATTTCCAAATCGGGATACTTTCCCCAGGAATATGATTCTATGGTATGACATCAGGATGATGGAAAACTAGCACCAGGGATACAAACTGTGCAAACTACCACAGACTCTTAACCCAATCCCAGAAGTGTCCTGTACTTTTCAGGGCTTCCCAGGAACTTGGAAAAGAGCTTCTGTAAATTCCCCTCAGTATGATCAGAAGTCAAGAATAATTATTTACTAGGGATTGTTGAATACAAGGGGAAAAGAGGAGGAAGGGAAGGTGCATGTATCAAAATAATACATTAAAATGTTCTTTGAAATATCTTTAATATTTCAGGTAAAGTTACAGTGTAATTTTTTTCATATAAAAAAAGTGGGTCACAGGCTAATATGTCAAAGGAACAATGGACTTTAATAGCTGTACTGACGTTAGGAAATACGTGGGAAGGGGCTGGCCTGGTCAAAGTCTCCCGGCCCCGACAGCCCCCTCCCTGGACTTCCATACATGGTATGACCCCCAGGCATGCCTGGTGGGAGTGTACAATAGTGTAATCATTTTGGATAATTGTTGGCAGTTTCTAATATTTCTAAGTGTCTTATCCAGAGTAATAAAAATTGCACGTGCACACTAAGCAACTTTATTCATAACAACTCCCCTAACTAGAAAAAGCCCAAGGGTCCAGGAATAGGCCCTTCACGTCGTATTCAGGTTAGAATGTTACTCTGGGAGTAGGAGCAAACTACTAACACACGCGACAACACAGAGTTAGAACAGTGGCTTTGAGAAAGAAGTACTCTACAGAGCATCCCCCATGATTCCACGCATGGGAGAGTGGAGAACAGGCAAAACGAATCCGGAGTGAGAGAGAGGAGAAGAGCGATGGTCCCGGGTCTGAGGATGACGAGATTGACTCGGGAAAGGGGCCAGGGAACTTTCTGTGGCGATGGGAATGTTCTAATTCCTGATTGGAGTGGAGGTTACACAGTTGTCAAAATTCATACACTGTGCACCTAAGATACGTTATGAACCTTTTGTTAACTGTAGATTAGAACTCGATTGACACATCTCATCTAAAGGGTCTGTGGCCATGAAGCTGGCTCCTCTCCCACCCATGCCTGCCCCACTTTCTCGGGGCCCTGGAGATGGGCGCGCTCCTCGCGTCTGAGACGCGCAGTCGGGTTTCTTCACCGCTCAGTCTCGCCGGTCACTTCCCTCCAGCTTGCCCACTTCCCATCACTGACTCTCAGGCTCTCTCTGGGCACCCCGCCGGGCCGCAGGAGAAAGTTTGGGAGGCCAGTTCAACTTTTCAACTTGGTGGGGAATTCCTCTCGCGCAGCACAGCTTGCAGCGCGGGGGCGGCGGGGTCGCAGCCTCAGCTGTGAATCACTGGCCCCTGCAGGCTCCGCCCCGGCCAGGGTCGGCCGGACGCTCACCCCACTTAAAAGCCGGGACGCAGCGCGCCAGCGCCCAGGCAGCCCCAGGGCAGGACACCGTGCACCGTCCTACAGCCCAGCTCATCCTCGGGACGCCTGGCCTCGCGGGCCGCTCCTCCCGGCACCATGGACCCTGCTCAGCCCCTGGGGCTGTTGCTCCTGCAGCTGCTCCTGATCCAAGCCGCTTGGGCGCTCACAGGTACCCGGCCAGTCCGGGAGCCCGTCTTCCCGCCAGGCTTCCCCCGGGCCAGGCCACCAGCTCCTTGCACCCGTTCGCTCCGCTCAGATTTCCCCAGGCTCCGGGCTCGAGCCCTGCTGAGCCGCGGGGCAAGGGACTCCAGCCCAAGTTTGCACTTTCTCTGTCTGCAGGGACCCCTCGGCTAGAGAGCGTCGGGTGCAGAACTCCGGGCATGCCTGCTCCCCCTAGATGGGTCTGAACTCTTATATCCACTCTTTCTCTTTCTGCGGGTCCTGTAGGAAATAACGCAGAGGTCTGCCTCCTGCCCCTGGACGAAGGGCCCTGCCGGGCCCAAATTCCCAGTTACTACTACGACAGGTACACGCAGAGATGCCGCCAGTTCATGTACGGGGGTTGCGACGGCAACGCCAACAATTTCGAAACCTGGGAGGCCTGTGATGAAGCTTGCTGGAGGATAGAGAGTGAGTGCTCGCAGACAAGCCGCTTCTTGCTCCAGAGGCTGGTGGCAACGCAGCTGGCTTTCCAGATCTGGCTTTCTGAAGTTTTAGCCTGAATTTTCGCAAGTATTAAGCATGGCCCAAGGATTTCAATTTCTCTCGAGTGATCAGAAGATCACAACCACTAACACATTTCCTCTCTCTCAATTGAGTGCCTGTGTGGATGCGTGGGAACTTCTGTTGCTTAAAGTATAATAAATGCAAGGGAGAGAATATTAAATGTAACATATGCATTTCTCTGTATTTATCATTGGTCCCAAACCTATAGCTTGAAGAACTCGTTTTCTTCTGTCAAGTATCAATATGAAATACTTTTCAGTGTATTTTATTATTAAAGTGTGATTTAGCTAATTATATAACTTTACTTTTGTCCCCTGATATCCAAACTTGTCTCAGGTTTAGAAATGCGGTGGAGAGTCACAATCCTGTGTTCTGTTTTACTTTATTTTATAGTTTTTTGTTCTGTCTTTAAGACCTGTAACAGTCCATGGAACTTTGCCAGCCAAGGAATAAAGCCAGAGGGAATGTGAATAAGCTTTGATTAATTTCATAGGCACAATCAGAGAACAGTCTTTCCACTGATCTTGAAAGATACATCACAGCTGAGTCACCTCTGGATACACTCTGTTTAAAAACCAAAATAAAGCTAAATCACCCCATTAGTGGGCGAGCTTTGGGAGGATTCACTATTCCAGCCCTCAAAACAATGACGGTTGTTTCTGAAAACACAATAACAATTTGGAAGTAATATGTAGAAGGCTCTTTTGACTAACACTGTTTTATCGTCCTTCTTTTCATAGAAGTTCCCAAAATTTGCCGGTTGGAAGTCAATGAGAACCAGTGTGGGGAATCCATGGAAGAGTATTTCTTCAATCTAAGTTCCATGACATGCCAAAAATTCTCAGTTGGTGGATGTCAACAAAATGAGAACCGGTTTTCAGATGAGGCTACTTGTATGAACTACTGTGCACCAAAGAAAACAAGTATAGTATTTCGATTTTGTTTCTTTATTAAGCCTTTTGGGGGAAAAAAAAAACACCTCAATTTGATGTGAAATGAACATGGTTTCCATTCTTGTGATTTCACATACACTATGCAATCTTCACATTGTTGCCCTATGAAGGAGTAGTATTTCTCCATTTCTAATTGCCAGAATGCAAACAAAGCAAACTTCATGGCTTGCTAAGTTACCAGGAAAGTGACAAGGCCGTAATTTAAGTATGTGCTGTCTCTTCTGTATTGTTTCTTTAGAACTATTTTTCATTTACACATAAAAATTATTCTTTAATGAAAGTGATGACCTCATTGCACAGAATCAGACATACATATGAGATAAGGAACTATAGAAAGAATTAAGATGTGGCACTTGAATTGGTTCTAAAGTGTTTGGTTAGATTTCCGTATTCTTTTGGTCATTGCGAAGTACAGCGCAAAGAGATCTCTAAATTTTGTTTCTCGCCTCTCGCTCCATTTGGTACCTGTCCTTTTACCACCCACATCCTTGAAATGATGGTTTACCTGGACACTAGTTAATATTTCTGGAAAAAGACAATATAGACATTTCCCCCAGACACACTGGAGACACGTAGTTTGTTAGATTCAACCAACACCAAAAACTTGTTTCAGCAGAGACTTTGTACAAAACCTTGAGTTAAAGGGGTGATAGTTGGTACTTGTGTTCTCAAAGTTGTTTGTGTAGATGTAAAGGTTCTAACAGTTACCTGGAAATTGTATTTTTGTTAAAAATATAATTTTATTTATATGTATAAAATGTGTATATACACATACACACACACACACACACACACATATATATACACGTTCTTGATTAATAATGAAAAAGGCTGACTTAAATCTTGAAAATAAAACTACCAACACAAGAAATTTTACCAAAGCATGTCATATATTATTCCTTGAAACTCAATGCATTTTTGCCTGGATATATCAGGTTTAATTTCAGGCTTAATTTCTTTTCACAGTTAAAGGATCCAAGAAAACATAGCTTCAGAATAAATTCTATCCAGTTTATACAAATTTAGTATTACCAAAATGTGGCACATAAGCTTACCTTCAGTCTGAGGCACACCTTTTAAAACGGTTCAATATGATATTTTGGATTCAGAAGGAGGCTTCTATGGAATTAGATTTTCCTTAGTTATTTCAGTAATCACAACAGTGATTTATTAATTCTGGTATTATAGCATTTCTAATTTTATTTTCTTTTTTCTAAAGGGCCATCATTTTGCTCCGATCCAAAAGATGAGGGCATGTGCTCTGCTAATGTGACTCGCTACTATTTTAATCAAAGACACAAAGCCTGTGAGGCCTTCATTTACACTGGCTGCGGAGGAAATGAAAATAACTTTGTTAACAAGAAAGATTGCAAGCATGTTTGTGCAAAAGGTAGTGGGTTTTTTAATTCCGTTTTTAGACAAACATTATACATAATTCATGAGCAAAATTATATTTTTATATATCTATTTTACTGATAGCAAATTGCCAGTTCTAGACTACTTCTATGGAAATACACCTTTAATGCTAATCGGTTTTGTTAAAATGCTTATACTGGCTAGCTACAGTAGACGTGAACTATATCTTTGTATCTTAGAAGTAGAATGTCATTGAGTATATAATGAGTTTAGCTGTCAATTGTTAAAATATAAGATGACGTGAGCTCAGAAGCATATTGGAAATGATGATTTGCTGTGAGCCTAAAAACTGGAGACATAATTTTGATTGTTATTTTTCTGATTTTAGCCTTGAAGAAGGAAAAGAATAAGACGATGCCAAAGCTTCCCTTTGTCAATAGAATCCTCAAAGTTCGGAAGAAGCACTTTTAAGCAATCATTGTGTCTCACCTCGTCAATGCTTATTTGCCTTTATGGGTATATGTGAAAAATAATATGGTAGCATGAGGAAATAAACCAGTGATCTAGTCATCAGTTTTTATTAATACAAGTCACTTTTGGTGTACTTCTTAGATATAACTAGCTGCTATTCAAATGTGAATCTGTCATTTTTAATTTACTATTCAATCATTTATGAGATGGAATCCATATAGATCATACGAAATAAAAGCAAAAATACAAAAGTAAATATGACTCACCCAGGTCCTGGGGTTGCTATTCCTGATTTTAGAAGAAGACTGTAACTGAAATAACCTCAGACAATATACTCATACGCTTTTAACATATCTGAGCATAAGAAGGGCTAGCAAGTAATATTTCATTTTGCATTCAAAAGTTTGGGTTTTATTTTAGTTCCCAAAAGACAAGGTTGCAGATTGACCAACACTTTCAAAAATATTCTAAGGGCTGTGATGTAGACACTATTAATAGCACTCCGATTTTTACTTTTATTTGTATTTTATTTCAGTGTGATGAATGAATAAAGAGATTTATTTAAAAGATAACTTTTTAATGGATTTAAAAGCCAGTCATTTTATTAAACTAGAAATGCTCTCTTCTGGGGGTTGTGGGGAAGATATCTCTTTCTATCTCTTTATTTCTCTCTGCCTAGGTCACTCACATGTATGTGTTCATGTATCCATATCCATAAATAGTTTTAAAAAGTCTTTCTGTTGTCATTATTTCCTAAGACATAATGGAGACCAGTAAAGTTGTTAAAGCTTTTGTACTATTTAAAGTGTTTATTTATATTATACTGGAAGCCATGCATGCATAATTTAAACTCCCTCAATAAATTATTCTTGATTAAACATGATCATTGCAGCAAAATCTTTTTTTTCTGCAATAAAAAGACTTTAAAATTCTTACATTTTCTTGGCAGGTTTGACATGGTTAAAAGTGTGCTCCTTCGTTAGCAAAATTGCAAATGTATTTGCCTTTTGCCTGAGCAATCCGTCATGTAAATAAAATGTTATTTTTACAAATCGTATAGTATAGTATATATGGTATATAGTATATACCATATGTCTGTAGGTATATGTGTGAGGACATTGACAGATACTGAAAACTAGCAACAAATCAGATGCTCATCAGGGGATTGGCTGAAGATATTATCCAAATTACAAATAGCAGAATATCTGTATATGGATATCATCTGACCCCAGAATCCATTTAAAAAGTAGGGCCTATGAATAAAAACACAGACACATAAACCTCTCAGACAACATAAAGATATTTAAAGAATCATTACCTATAGTGGGAGGGAGGAACAGAAAAGCAGACAGGTATGGAGATAAAATTTATGTGAATGTATTTATTATATAGTTTTTGATCTTGGATCATATTGATATTTATCAGGATTAAATCAAAAAGAATAAGCAATTCCCTTAAGCAATGAAAATAAGCCAAAATAACTGAACCCAACTGAATATCAAATAGTGGCATATATGCTTTGTGTAGATGAAAGTTACATAATTATTTTCAGTGACTTCTGAAATTAGTATTTTGGCCTTATATCTTTTGGGGAATATAGTCTAAGTCAAACAATTCTTAAAAAATCTGAAAATTCATTTAGTAGTCATATCGGTGTTAGTAATATCTGTGTTGTTATTTTAATCCAATTATTTATACAATATCACATATTGTATAAGAAAACATACATTTTTATATTTCATTAGAAGTCCAGATTTTCAGTGTTAACAGAAATTGAGATATAAGTATAAAGTTAAAGAAATTAAGTAAAAAATAAAATAAAAACTTTAAAAACTTTTAAATTAGAATTGGAAATAGTAGTATAAATCAGAACTGATTCTCTCTATCAAAAATAGAGAAAAGGTATTTCCCACCTTTCCTTTGAGAATTCCTGACAACTCAACTCATTGGCAACAAATAAACTTCCCATCCAGACTGTGGCCTTTCAGTACTATGTTTCAGTAAAAGGAACCAGGGCTCTTAGGAGAAATCTCTGGGTCAGGGGCAGGAAATCCATAAGGTGAACCAGAGCCAGCCTATTCCAGAAGTCAAAGAAGCTATCAAAGACTACTGAGTCAGGTCACAAAAACAGTGTCATGAAGGAGTTCAGACTGATCAAAAATGAGACAGCATGGACAGCAAAACAAATAATAAGCACAATGTACACATAAATATGTAAAAATCTAAGTTCATGATTATATGCACGCACACACCCCTCCTCTGTATCTTTTGGATCTTTCTGGGACATTATATCACTACTTGGAAAGCTGATAAAGTAACTGAAAAACTGAAGCATTTATACTTTTTCAGTTTATTCTTTAAAAACTGTATCATAGGGGAAAGGTATGTGAAAGCTATTTATAGAATTCCACCTAATTCATGAAATGTATTAGAATGTTAGAAAGTGCTTCTAATGAAAGTATAAATCGAGTCATCAGTAGGTCCTGATGCTGTTGCACAAAAAGTTTTGGAGGGAACCCCATCATGGGGAATCAAGCTAATGGCTCCAAATCCACAAATAATTTTAATACCCATGACAGTTTGGCTGGAGACATTATTTGCTTCTTGATATGATGCAATAATAAGCACCCCCACCCATGAAGTATTCTTAGGGAAAAAAACATGAACCTGAAGTTAGTCAAGCCTCTAGATCAGTGATTTTCAAGTGGCCTGCCATGGCAGGATCTTAAATGTACCATGAAAAAAATTTTAAAGATTACTAATTAAATTCTATTCAAAAGAAGTTCAAAGCACAGTCAGTATATTCTTTTTTTACCCTTAAAAAAAAAATCAACATAGTTGTTTAAGTGTACTGCAGAAGTTTAACTATAGGTTCAAGAGTATCATGAAATTTAAAAATGTTTGAAAAATACAGCTCTAGAACTTACCATCATATTGGCAGATTTTAAGGAGACTGGGGATACAGGAGCAAGTTACAAGAAACCAAGGGTCGTGTACTGCCAAATCCATGATGTTGGACACTCTACAGGACAAATACCTGGCTTCTCCAAATAAGTCAATCATTTGTTTTTCTAAAGGACAGGGTGGAAAGAGGTAGTGCTTTGCACACACACACACAAACACACACAATATGAGACTCAACTCATAGTCTTTAGAGTGTCTATCCCTATATTGCAACAGTGGTTGTAGAAATTCCAACTATGGTTCATCCAAAAAGCAGCTTGCCACTAAAAGGTTTGGGGTTGAGTAAGGCCTGTATATATGACTGTTTTCAGTGGTTTTTGAAAATAATTGTAGCAGAAAGATATTGGGTGTGTTCTGGGGATGCAGAGTGAGTGATGTAGAGCCATTGGTGGGTCTGGGGGCTCCTTAAATCTGCAAAGGGAAGCTGGATTTGGTATTTGCTATTTTTATCCCCCACTTTAGGAAGTCATGGGCTCAGCTCAGCCTATCATTGTACGGCTCTGCTCAGTGTGGGTAGGAAGTAGATCCTTTTGATGCCATGTTCTAAGGCCCCCTCCCCAAACTCTGCCCTTTTTGTTTAATGAAAAAAATAAAGCAATTCATGGGACATTCTGCAATCGAATGGAAATTCCTCCTTACCGCAGTCAGTGTGAACGCAAGTCACAACTTCGGTTTCACCAGACAGCCTAATTAAAAGGAATGTCTCATTCTGTGACAAAAAAAGACAAAATAGGAATTAGATGGCTTTTAATAAGACAAACTTTTCTTTAAGAAAATTGGTCTAGACTACCACTCATGCCCTCTCTGTACACACAGATTGTCACAACGGTCAACCATGGAGACTGCAGTGAAACCTTCCAGATGCCCCGGGTCACAGTGCTCACCACCAACAGTCTTGTCAATCTTTACCTAACAATCTAATCCAGTAAGAGAATATTCTTTAGAGTGTCTGTCCCTATATTACAACAGTGGTTGTAGAAATTCCAGCTATGGTTCATCTGGAGATAAATTTCTAGACTGTGCTGAGGGAGGGGACCTAAAAAGCCAACATTAGAAAGATTTGTCTATTAATCTTTCCCCATCAGCCCTCTTATGACTTGCTAGACTACATTACAGTGGCTAGAACTTGTCTTTTTTTTTTTTTTTTTTTTTTTTACTATAGCGTCTCTGTAGGTAACTCTGTTACCTTGAAAAGAGCGCCTTGGAGTCACAGCAAACTCAAACACCTTGGCTCAAGAAATCCTCTTGCCTCAGCCTCCCAAGTAGCCATAACTATAGGTGCATGCCCAGCTAATTTTTATATTTTTAGTAGAGACAGGCGTTGTTTTCTCTTGCTCAGTCTGGTCTTAAACTCAAACAATCCTTCTGCCTCAGCCTTCCAGAGTGCCTGGATTACAGGCACCAGCCATTGTGCCTGGCCTTGGAACTTGTCTTTACAAGCTTCATGTTGGTAGTAAAATAAAGGTCCTGTGATAAACATAAGGAAAAGTGGGAAAGCACAGAGCTGGGGCTTTAAAATATCTTTTGTCTGAATAGAGTTGTGAACTTAAATAAAGATGGATGCAAGAAATGTGGTAATTAAAATCATCCATAGTTGTCTCTCCTCCCTTCGTCCACATATTCAATTAGTTACCAAGTGTACCTATTTAGATCTATTCTAATCTTCCTTATGCCAGAAGAATCGAAACACCCCCAGTTTTCCTTCCTATGTCTGCTCCATAGCAAATCATTCACATCGGTGCAGAATAATCTTTCTGGAAAAAAATTATGATCAGGTTACTCTTTTGCGTAAAACCTTTCGGTGGTTTTCTATGGAATCTTCACATTACTGCCAAGCCCCCAGTGTGTCATGTAAGACTTCTTATAAGTGAACCATGACATTGCTCCCCAGAGGCAGCTCTCATTTCCTGTGGCCTACAATCCAGTTGCACCGAATTATCTGCAGCTTCCAAAGCCTGTCACACTGCTTGATTCTTCTGCAAGTGCTTCTCAAATTTTGTGCATGAGGACCATCTGTGGAGCCAGGTACACAGCAGGCACTTAGGCCTTGTGCCCAAGAGCTTTATTTAGTGGGTTTGAGTTGGCTTTCAAAGATGCACATTATAAAAAATGACTCCTGAGAATTAAAATATACACCAACATTACACATCAAGAAACATCATTTTCAAGCCTTATTGTTTTAATGTAAGATTTTTGGTAAGAATAACCTTTCCTCCACCCAAATTTGGCAAGTCTGATCTTGTGCTTCTTGGTAAAGTATTGCTTGTCCTCCCTCAAGCAGGCTTAATCATCCTAAGGTCTTGGCTAAACCTAGTTCAACTTCATGGTTACTCTAATAGTGTTTAATTATTTTCCTAGAAATTTTATTGTTAGGGTATCTAAATTTTTCATGTAAAATTAATATGCTATTTTTTCACTGTAAAATCTTATATTAACTGTTTATTATACACAAAATAAAACTTAAAACATGAAAAATAACAATAAAAACAATCCAAAATTTCACCAAATGATTAATAATCACATTTCTGTTTTCCTGAGTTGGAAATAACTTAGCAAAGAGAAACATGTATAAGTATATACTGACAAATTGTGTTACATCAATTTATCACCAATAAAGAATTATAGAAAGGCTCAACACATTGGATATTAATAGAAAAATAAATAACCTGTTATAATAAAATATTTTCTCTTTTAATCATTTTTTTAATTGGTGTTTCCAAGATTATTACTAAGGGAAATACAAAGTGTATAACATGAAGTTTTGATATAC